TTCAGCCCTTCCAAAGTGGTTCGGAAAAGCTTCGGAGCCGCTTTGGAGATCTGGCCATAGGGTATAATGGGGAATCAATGAAATATCTATAACTTTTTTGTTTTATGTCTGATTTGCATGAAACTTGCATGGGTGGTAGCCTCAGACCATGGAGCCTGCCAAGTTTCAAGAAGATCGGTGTAGGGGTTCGGGGGGAACTGCACCCCAAATTCCTGAAAGAAAACTCATGTCACATCTATGGGTTACAACACGGGGGGGGAGGGGGGGGTGAAAACTGCAGGGCTGGTAGCCCCTGGTGAGACCATAAAGCCTACGAAGTTTCAAGGTGCAGGGGTTTGGGGGGAACTGCACCTCAAGCTGCGGACAGGCCAAACTCATGACATAGATGACCCATGTGTGTGTTAAGGCACAGCGGGCTGAAAACTGCAGGGGTGGTGGCCACCACCCCTGCAGTTTTCACCCCCCTGTGTTGTAACATATAGATGTGACACGAGTTTTCTTTCAAGAATTTGGGGTACAGTTCCCCCCAAACCCCTGCACTGATATTCTTGAAAGTTGGCAGGCTTCATGCAGAGGCTACCATCCCTGCAAATTTCATCCAAATCAGACAAAAAACAAGAAAGTTATAAATATTTAATTGATTCCCCATTATACCCTATGGCCAGATCTCCAAAGCGGCTCTGAAGCTTCGGAGCCGCTTCGGCTGGATCAAAGCGGGAACCCAGTCCAGAGCTCCAGATCAGATCCCTGGCATCTGAAGTGGCTGGATCCGAAGCCGGATTGAATAGGTGCCTGCTCGCACAGGCCTAATAGCTAGGTCTCTGGCCTTCCTAAATGTCAACAGCCATGAGCGACTGGTGCCTTCTGAGTTTGGGGGGGAACCAGATCGCTGGCGGGGCAGGGGGTCCCCCAGTGGCTGATCACTGACCGGGGGGGATGGATGTCCCTCAGTGGCCGATCGCCAAGGTCAGAACCATCAGCGGTGAAACCAGAAGTGCACTTCCACCGGCACCTCCAGTTTTGCAGCTGGCGCTTCCAGGGGGTACACGGCCAAACTTGGGGGGTGCACGTGCACCCGTGTGCACCCCCTACATGTTGACAATGTCAAAGGCTGAAACCTATATGGCAGTCTGGCCCTATAAGAGGGAGCAGACAGTGCTTTTGTAGAAACCCAGCAGTGGGTAGTTAGGTAATGGGGGGTATATCACTAGCAGTTAAAAACACAGGAGAGAGAGAAAAAAGTGAAAAGCAGGGGAAGGAAGGAGCAGTTTCTGGGCAGGAGTCATGCTGGAACCAGATAAGCTTGTTAGCAGGAAGGGCCACTCTTGAGGAGTGGGCCAGAGCTAAAGGGCCTGTCCGACTTCTCAGAGAAGGGCTAAAAGCTTGGTTCCTTAGTTGGTTGGTTTGGTGCAAGGTTTGTGTTTGTGTTGGAAGGACTGGCTGAGGAGCTCCCAAGGGAATCAAGCCAGCCTGCAAGGCTGCAGGCATGCCAGTCTGCTTGCATGGACTATATTTCAAGAATCTCTCCTCCTGAATTGTAATAGGTGACTTAACTATAGGAATCATGACCAAGTTTCCTTATATTAACATTCACATGAGGCTTCCCTAGTCTCTGCTGATCATGTTATTTTAGAGGTTATGATATGTGGCTCAGTACAAAGATTCCAGGATGTGGAAAGATACAGCAGTAACATCATTTTCTTAATCCTATCCAAATGTAACATAGCTTTCCTTTGAATTTTATCCTTCTCTGACTAGTTTCTCTTGCAGTATAGCAGATTTGTAGTTGAAGTTACTCTTGAAGTAGTTTGCAAGTAACACGTCTTTTCTTTTTCTCTTTAAATTATACCCATTAATAGTATACTGACAGCCACTCAGCCATTTCAGCAGCCTCAAAGCACTTTTCTGAATATCAGATTGAATGATAAAGTATATCCAAATCAGTACAGAAATAGCATGCATTTATCGTTTCAGTAACTATACAATTGCTTCTTTTCCTTTCAGGACCACTGAGGTTTCTTTCCCAGACAGAATCTGTCACAGCTTTCACAGGAGACACCGTGTTGTTGAAGTGTGAAGTGGTTGGAGAGCCCATGCCAACGGTACACTGGCAGAAAAACCAGGAGGACATGACCCTTAGCTTCAGTGACACCCGGATAGTTGTCTTGCCCTCTGGAGCTTTACAAATCAGCAGAATTCAAATGGGGGATAGTGGGATCTACAGATGCCTTGCAAAAAATCCAGCTAGTTCAAGAACAGGAAATGAAGCAGAAGTCAGAGTATTGGCAGGTAAGAACCAGGCATTTTTCCTTTAGCTTTTAGCACTGTTCTCATCATGGTTCTTCCTCTTGTGTAATGGTGGCTTCTACTGGGGTAGATAGGCTGACTTTTATACCCCATTTTTTTTAGCTACGCATATTAAATACTACACTTCTATTTACTCTGAACAGCTTGGAGACTTTAGAAGCAGCTACATACCAAGGAGGGTCACTGTGTGACCTGCCAGCTTTCCAGAGGCCATGATTTAAGAACTGATGCTATTTAATTACAAAGACTTATGTTCTGTATCTTTATCATATGCCTGCCTGTATCCACAGCTTGATCTATATACTGTGTACCTTTGTGGCTGGCAAATTTATTGCTTCACCAGTATTTTTCCATTTAGCTCCAGTTTCTTTTATTTCTAGAAATATTATGAAGAGTATAACTTAAAAGCAAAAGATTGCTTTGCCCAACATATTTCATGTTGAATCACCTGTTTTCTAGCTTTAATGCAACAGGATCATAGATTTGGGTCTACAAGTAACCTCAAAAGATCCTTTAGTCCAAAGTCCCTCCCCTGTGGAAAAATCAGTGCACCTTGGTCATCCCCAGTAGATATTTGTCTATACCTTTCTTAAACACTTTATACAAAAGAGATTATACAAGCAGTCTAGGTAGCATGTTCAAGTGTCTTACCACCCAATTATCTAGGCAGTTTCCCTGTTATCCAATCTAAATCTTCATTGCTTCAAATTAAGCTAATTTCTTATTGTTTTTCCTCCAATATGTGTGATCTAGTCTAAACTTCATATGATATTTACTGATGTTCTTTTCTTGCTCTGTTGTTTGTCTGCATTATTCTTAGGATGTGTTGGCTAAAACAGAACACAGCATTCCAGCTCGTGACATAGTAGCATTTATTTAAAGGCTGAAACCCCAATGAAATAGTATAAAGACACTATTAACTATAATGTTTTTAGACTGTGTTTATAAGCTCCCTCCTGACGCGAGGTTGTATGTAAGTGTGACTTCTGGATACAGGATTCTTGGACTGTTGGGTTTAAATCAAGGCTGCACTGAAGTCGCTGGGAATGTTGCCATTTATTTCAATGTGACCATTATTTCAACCTTGAACTCTTGGGGATCTGATCATACACAGATCTATGACCATGAATGGAGTATACAGAGGGGTTTTGTTTTTTGTTTTTTAACCCTCCTCTCATGGAGTGATCGCCAGCTCTAGGACCCATTGTCTAGTTTATCGCACAGTCCAATGTGGCACTTGCTGCTGCTTCATCAGTCCATAGCTCAGCCAGACCTCCCTGCTATAGTGTGCTTGTGAGGAGAAAAAACTAAAATTATGCCTGGTTTTTAGATTAATCATTGATCTTAACAATTTGTCTAATTCTCAGTCCTTACCAATAGCTGCGTTTGATTTGGGGGATAATTGTCCCCAAAGCTCTTCTTCCCCCTCTGAGATGTTTGCAGAAGATGGAGCCCCTGCCGTTTCTGGGGGTTAATGTTTCTGAGAGTAACCAGAGGCAAAAGGGAAGTCGTTGTCTTATGGTGTGTCTCACTGGTTCAACAGGCAGAGCGTGCTTTCCCACGCAGCCAAGGCTAGCGGGTTTGCTTCCCCACCTCAGTTTTCACAGCAAGAAAAAGAGGCAGCCGGGTTGGAAAACAACTGGTTCTTTGACAATCAGCTCCCCATCTCCATGTGAGAAGTGGTGTCAGAAGAGCGGTATCCCAGATGTAAGATCAGAGATAGACTCCATTTAGCTCACCCCAGCAGAAATAACTCTCTCCACAGAGCTCCCCTGCTTCTTCTCCTTCCCTGTTTAGCTTTCCTGCAGGTCCTGAGGCCAGTGCCTCAATGTGCGGCCCCCAGACCCAGCTCTTCCTCCTGCAGGTACCTCTTTAATCCTCCATCCCGTCACCTTCTACCTGGGATCCCTAATCATATCCTTGGCTGAGACTTCCAGGGGAAACAAAACCTAGCTGGCTCATATGGTTTTGATACTGCAAAAAGGGGTAGAGCTGCTAGAGTCCAAATTTTCAAACCTTTGAAATAATAAGGGAAAAAAACATATGCTGGTTAACATATGACATAAAAAGGAAAATGTGTACAAATATCGGAGGGACAAAAGCATCTAAATAAACATGTTCTTGTGACCCGATCAGTGATTCAGTGACTGATAGCTCCCAAACAAAAGAAGATAGAATCATAGTACGCTCCATCAAAATCGAAGTAAAAAAGATGAAGCGGAGGAGAGAGATTTTATAGGGAAATAGCTGCCGTGTATTTCTAAGACGGCACCAAAAAAGTGGGAGTGAGAAAGAAAAATTAAAAGATATTGCCTGTGCATCTCAAACTCCCATTGATTTTTAGGGCAGGCACAACTCTGAGAGTAGTATCCGTCTGTACAAAGATTGCTCATGATTACATCCCTTTATGTGGACCAGCTTTTTGACTTCCAAACTCTAAAACTACATTCCTGATCAGCACTAACAATGTGAGACATGTACAATGTGGCTGAAGTCTGATCTGCCTCATGCCTTCATTTGAATTCCAAGCCGAAGCCATTCAATTTTTATATATGTGGGGGGGGATTAAAAGTTGATTTTGTGATCTCTTGCATTCCTGGCCCTGGCTGGGACCACTAGCAGCAATGTCAGAATATGGTGAGGGATACTTCTAACTGCAGTGAACAAAGGAGAACTGGGAACTGAAAACATGATAAGAAGTCCTGTTCCAGCATGTATGATCCAGGGTTTTGGATAAACACGACTGGATTGGAGGTAAACATTACTAGTGCCAAAGCTTTAATAAGAGGCATTTAGTAAATATTCCTCCAAATTTCTGATAAATTCCATGTACCTGGGCAAGATGTGCTGGTGCAGGGACAAGAAAATCTAAAGAAGCAAAGAAGAGACAGGGACAAGAAAATCTAACTCCTTTTGTAATTTTAAACAAAAATGTTCTCCTGTGACTAAAGCCACAGACAATACAACAATTCTTTGTCTTGTATAACACCGAGTCCAAATGTTATAATATTAAATGCATAGGGATATCTGGAAACATCCTCCAGTTCTTTCCATAGAAGTATTTTTTTACAACACTTGTTAGTCAGCAATCTGTTTTATTCCAATATGTCATTACTATACACAGTCCGTTTATAGAATGGTTTGTTTGAGAATTATTTTTGTTTGGTCCCCTGGCCAAACTGGAAAAATATTTGGGATCTACTTGAAAAGAAAAAAGAAGTCTGCTTTCTCAGTAAAACAACAACAACAACAATAATAATAATGTTGATGATGGTAAACAATTAGGGTGAGATTACACTTTACAATTAGCACATGATAATTCTAAGGGATTTCAATCTTATGATGTGGATGGATGGATAAAAGTTGCTGTGAGCAGTCACACGTTAAGGCCTAATAACTTCTCTTACTTGCACTCCTCAGACCTGTGACCAGAGGCCTGGTAAGCAGGGTCATGGAAGAAGCCTCCTTGAGTCTGCTCCTGCCCCACACCCCAGCTCTGTGGCTGCAGTATAGGCTGGGGGCAGGGACTTCCCCAAGAGCTTGGATCCCCTCCCCCCCCCCCAAAATCACCCCTTTCTGCCAGGATTGCTGCCTTGCCTTCTTGAACTGGTGTCCCGATCAGCCTGAGAGTGGCAGCAGTGCTGGCAGGAGGGCTGGGGTTTTCCTTTCCCTGTACGCTCCCAGGCTCATCAAGGCTGTGCTGGCCCTGTATGCCTGGATCCAGCCTCCACTGGGCTTTTTGGCTCCTTGCCCCCCTGACCCCTCTCCTTCAGCTGTGGGATCCAGGCATGTGGAGTGGCATGGACTGCAGGAAGCACAGGAGCAGGTAGGGAGGGGGAAGCCCTGCTGCCATAGCTGCTGCTTTTAGACTGATTGGGGCAGTGAAGGGATTGAAGGGGGCAGAGGGGGTGATCAAGGAAGCAATTAGGGGCTGAGGGGTCCATGGGAGGGGAGGATGCTTGGGTCAGCAACGTAGTGATCCAAACAGTGGGGGCAGGCTTGGGGGGGGGGGCGCAGGGGGGTGGGGGAGACAACTCCTTGCCAACTTGCTCAGCCTTCTCCTCCTGTCCCTCTCCCTTTTCCCCTGCCCCGCTCACTCCTTTCCTCTCCCTCCCTACTCACACTCTTCCCAGCTGTCAGCCCAGCACCACAGGCGCTAGTCCACTTTGGAGCACTGCCTCCTAGGATACACGAGGAGTGGAAATTCATAGTGTTATCTCAGGTGAACACCCAGAAGTTAACTTGAGCTGGGTAACACAACTCAAAGATCATCTTTGCCTGAAGTTTTGTAACCTTAAGATGCCTAGAGGGCACTTAGCACTTGCTAATGAGCTTTAATATGAGATTGGTCAAGTTTGAAATGTTCTTAATTTCACCTAGCTGTAACATGTAGTCTCCCCTTTACATAATGAAAAAATCAAAATGTTATATTTGGTAAATGTCAAACAAGGTGTTTTTCTGCTACAACTTTGAACTTGGCAGAAATGTACTTAACTGCACCAGTTGATCAAAACCTCTACTTTTTGTTAATAAAGGACTTGTCTAAACTTTTTCTGACTGGCTCTAATGAGCATCTTAGTCATTCAAATTTGGCAGGGATTTTGTATTGCTATCCAGACAGATGATGACACAGTTAAGCCTTGGGAGTTCATCACAATTGTACCTTCAGTTTGATGGCAGAATACTAAGACAGGGTCGCAGCAGCCCCTAGCACATGCCGATGCAGCAGTAAAAAAACTTGGAACTGTATGATCTTTGTCTCAGCAGAGACTTGCAATCAGGTTTTTAACGCTCTTTCACTGTTTCACTTCCTTCATTACTCTATGAATAGCTAGCACATTTTTTTAAAGAGAATACTTATTCCCAATTCACAGGATGAAACTTTAATTAAAATGTTCCCGTTTTCTTCAGGGTCCAGAAACATAAGCCCAACTGACTGCTTTGGACAAGACAGAAGGAAAGAAGAGATGCTCAAATCAACA